GTACAGCCGTTTTTTTTTTTTTTTTTTTTTTTTTTTCCGGACACTATAGGTTATCCGGACCGGAATCCGGACAGGGGGTCCGGGTCGGTCCGGATATTCCGGAATATTCCGTTTTCCCGGAACCCCGGAAGGGCCCGGGAGGTCCAGGGTCCGGGGTCCGGATTCGGTCCGGTGTCCGGTCCGGATTCGGTCCGGTGTCCGGTCCGGCTATGCTCCTCACTAATGACTGGCTCATTGACCATACAATGTTGGAACAACGCAGTTTGGCTTTACCCTGGTGTCAGTCTTGCCTGTCAACCTTTCCAGTTCGTCAAATTGAGAAACTATAGAGCACATAATTCTTTCATAGAATCAGCAGAAGTTAACCATCATCATAATCAATATCAGCATTACAATCATCATCATATGAGGGACGCTGAGCCCGGTTCTCGACATTAAAAAGAAAAGAAAAACAATGTCCTGCTGCGGTCCTAACATGGAGAAGATGGGACTGTATTTGCAGGCAGTTAACTGGTATGGATTGGCCCTGGATTGGAGGGCCATCTTATTGGGTTTTTGGAATTCTCCCAATCTGACAGACTTCCAACAGAACCTGTTTTCAATCAGTCGTAAAGCAATTCTGTGGAAACCAAAATACAAGCTCAATGGGCTAATACAAGAACTACATTATTAAATTTGCATAAAAAACGGACATACAACGAATAGTCCAGAAATTTCAAAAGGGCTGGCTGGGGGATCCAACTGGGACGGGGCTGGGACAGGTATTATGACCAGGGGGGGAGGAGGCAGTGGCTTCATTAAGGAAAGAATTTCACCTCTCCTTCTCTGAATGGATAGATCCACTCCCTGGCTCTCATCTTCAGACAGCAAAGGAATTCCTTGATTTGTTTCCTCCCTCGGCATTTACTCTGGTCGAGTTGGAATGGTTTGGAACTTTGGACACAGTAGCTAAGCAGGGGACTGTCCCTCATTAAGGGTGTATCTCAGATGGCTCAATTGCTTTTCTCCCTTCAGATTGTAAATCAGTAGGGATACATTGTTTTACCTGGCGGCTTTAGGAGGGCTGTTGAGGCTGATTCCAACAATCTGGTACAATTGGATCTTATTTTCTGTAAATCTTATGATCTGATAAGTGCGCTGGACCCGGTTTCCAGTAGGTGCAGTTCCCCTCCAATAGAATGGAGCCCTGGGAGGAGAGTATCACAGCGTACTGCTCTTCGCAGACCCTGTGATATCTCTCCGGGATGTTTTCTTTAAAAATAATAATAATAATAAAATCTACGACGTTGAAAATGAGAAAAAGGATGCAACTTAGGAAGGGGACTGCACCAGGGTACATACACGCTAAGACAGTCCCAAATGCATAGCGGATCAGTTGGGCCAATCTTTATGCATTCCTATATCAATTCTGAAAACAATTCAGCTGAAACAGTGTTCTACCTGCGTCTTGCTTCTGGTCTTTTCTCTTGAATTGTGTTCTATGCTTGCTGGTGATAAGCAACCGGACTGATGCCCCCCAGAACGGATGGGGCGTGGTTTCCCTCCAAAAAAAAAAAAAACAGTGTTCTGCCATACTCCACCAACACCCCAACAGATGACAAAGGAAATCCTTCACTGATACCTATCGGCAAGTGAAACAATCAGCGGAAGTTACACATCTACGGAGCTGGGTCCGATCTCCATGGGTTGCCATAGTAATGCATCCACACATCCTAATGATGGTGTCATTTCCATGGGTCATGGGGTCACATTTACATGGCTCTCCAGGTCCCATCCCCTTGGTCCTCCTGTCCAGATATGACCCATGGAAATAGTGTTGGAATGTTAACATAAAAAGGACAAAAGGGGTTCAAACAGAAATAGACATTGGGTACCCACAGAAAAATGAATATGAATATATAAACACAGTACGGACAAGAGGGACATTCGGTGAAGCAATGGCGAATGCACATCAGTTGGTATCAATGGGAATTTCTGCGCTCAGATTCGACTACACGAGCGAATGAAAACGTAAAAGGAGAGAATGGGACAACTTATGCAAACTTACCATCTGGGAGAAGGATTGTGACAGCCTTGACACGCCCATCGCTAGGAATTCCAAAAAGAAAAAGAGTCCAGAAGCAAAGTGGCAACCACAAGACATAGTGAGCTGCACAGTTCAAGCTTGGCCTGGAGACCAAAAAGTGAACGGGGTGAGGGTGGACAGAGGTGGGGCAGGTTGGGGTGGGGAGGGGGGGAGGGGGGGAGGAGGAGAGATAGGGTGAGCAGAGAATGTGGGTGCAAGGAAAATGAGCAATAGCGAGATGACAACATTCAGATTGCACAATCACATTGAAAGCCAGATCATATCACAGTGTTCAGAAAGCAGCATTGCACCAACATGACACCAATGGAGAATCGTAGCACTGGAAACCAATGTCAATGAGAGCTTGCTCTAGCCACCACCAACATATGTATCCATCTTGGCGCTCGGCGCCCAGCCTACTCCCTACACAGCTACTACTAGCCTACTAATTGACAATGCAACTGTTGACGTCAGCAGCCTCCGAAGTACTTGAAGACGTCGCCCATGCAGACAATCGCCAATACCAGGTATGTGCCCTCACATCATCATCATCATCATCATCATCCTTCTCTCTCTCTCCCTTGTCTCTCTCCCACGTCTCCCTTTGTACACCCGAAGACCACCCCTGCGCACTGTACAACCAAGCCCTCAGCCAGCTATGGAGGCTGGGCTATGGCGCTGCCCTCAGCAGCGCCCTGTTCCCTGCACGACCGCACGTGCTTGCACCTCGCCTCTCAGCGCCAGCAGCAGCCCACGAGCGTCCGCTCCAGCAGCGCTGCCGCTAGCATGCGAGTGCCTGAAGGAGGCTCCAGGCAACGAGCTCTTTCCTATACGGAAAGAGTCTGCCTGCCTTCGCAGCCTGACTGGTCTGGGCCTGGGCCCAGAAGCTTCCAGTAGGCCCCAGGATGCTGTGCCTCTGGTGCAGCTACTGGGCCTCATTCAGTTGGGCCTCCCAACTGTCTGTGTATGAGGCTGCGAATCTCGCCCAGGGCCTGCACTTTCGGAAAAGCCTAGAAGGCCGTGGAATTTCCTTGCTGCTCGGCATGTGTTTCCTCAACCAACTGGCACGACGAAACTGAAACTGCCTGGACCCCAAATACGAATTTGACAGCTTAGGGGCCTCTCGCGATTTGTTAGGCCCACCTTCACTTAGGGCGGGCACATTTGCAGCAGAGGCCCCTTAGGCCTGCCGAGGACCCAGATCCTCGCATGGGATAGAAAAAGGCGAAACTTTGACAACCACAAGAGGACATCATAAGGTGCACAGTTGAACCACAAGTGGTTCGTAGCCTCTTTTTCCCAGTTGGAAAACTGTTTTCTAAGTGGGGTAGCCCCTAAAGTTGATGCATGCATACATGATCTGTTTACAAACAGCTAGATGTGTGAACAATGCAGCCACACCCGGTACAGCGTACTGTTACGGGGGTGGCCCATAAAGTTGTTGTGTCCATCAGGATTTGGATTCATAATCTGTTTCTGGACATTTATACTCGTGTTACGTGTATGATTTAGCCACAAGGAACTGTACCTGCCTGACTCTGGTTTTTTATTAACCACCACTACCACCCCTGACGCCGTCGCCTGAGGGTATATGCAGCGGTAGGGTTGGCTTACAGGGCGTGGGGCGACTGGCATCAGGTCAGAAAGTTGTGAGTGTTGCAATTTTGGTGAATTTTCGTGTGTGATGGGTTCGGTGAAAATTTCTGAAAAGACAATCATGGACGCAAATCAAAGTGTCTATCTGTGAGGCTTTGTTTTTTGTCAAACAGGCAGCAGTGCAATTTCAAATTTTCTTTTGAAATAGTTTTAACAGTGCCATGGGCAGCGGTGCAATTCCAAATCTCTTTTGAGGTAGTTTGGTGACCACTCACACAATTTTCCCACTTGTCGTTGTTGTTGTCGTTTGTACGGTAAGCAGATATTATGAGGTCCGCATCTGAAGACAGAAATAGAAGTTCTCAAAGAAAGAAAGGACCAGGAAAAAGGTTGGGAATGGGAATGGAAATACCATACCCTGGCTTGACAATGTATCCTTCGAAGGTGTCTTTTCCAGACCCTAGAGTGATATTCGTTGTCGTCACTTCTGGTTGGATCTCTAATCTTAAACTCCGCGCACGCCTGCAGTCCATCCAGAAAAACAGTAACCCGACTGTCAATCCACGATTGCCATCATTGTATAGGATGGCTTTGTGCCACAGATTCTGCCATAAAACACCAGTACACAGCTCCAGCCTTGTGGAGAAAGTTTTCATCACCTACAAAATTTTCGGAGACTCGGGGCTACAGGACCACAATGGCTGGCAGCTCCAGCCAAAAAAGAAAAAAAAGTGCACCACTGGCAATTCGGTAAAGCTTGTCACGCAGTGGAAGGCCGCCAGGCCCAGGTGTGCTGATTGTTTAACAATAGCAAAGAGTGAAATCCCAACCATTGCTATACTATTTTCATACTCATCATCGAGGAAATGAATGCACGACAAACTCACATGAGGACTTTTTTGACTGAATTTGGCCTTCAATTACACTCAGGTAAGTCCAGGAGAGTCCTGATGCGATAAGGTAAGCCATCAATACATCTGCAGCTATTTCAGGCATATACAGTCTTTACACCCAGGCCAACTCAAAGGGTCTTTCTGTACCCACAGTCTGCCTTATTGAGTCCCTCCACATGTGTGCACCCGTCTGCATGTGTGTGTGTGTGTGTGTGTGTGTGTGTGTGTGTGTGTGTGTGTGTGTGTGTGTGTGTGTGTGTGTGTGTGTGTGTGTGTTTGTGTGTGCTTGTGTGTGTGGGAGTTTGTGTGTGTGGGTCGGGGGGTGTTTCTGTGCATGTGCATTGTAAGCTCGCATCAAAACGACCCCTTTCCCGCCCGCATGAGGAGATCCAAAATTGAAACAGCATTACCTCTAGAGCAAACAAGGTGGAGTGCACTAAAACATTTACATTGCCTTTTCCTTATGGGTGGGTGCTTCTGTGCGCGCAAGCGTGTGTGTGTTGGAAGGGGGGGGCGGGGTCTGTGCGTGTGTGTGTTTCTGCATTTGTTTGTGTGGATTTGTGTGTGTTTGTTTGTGTGAAGATATGTGTTTGTGTGTGTTGGTGTGTGTTGGTGTGTGTTGGTGTGTGTTGGTGTGTGTTGGTGTGTGTTGTGTTGGTGTGTGTTGGTGTGTGTTGAGATATACTTCTCTTGCAACTGCGCAATAACAACCTCAATCTTGGCTCAATGGAGAATGACCACCAAGGCTATGGAGTCTGGACTGATACCAGACCCACAGAAGGAAGGGGGCTCGCTGTGGCACATTAAGAAACAAGAGACAATGGGAGTGGTGATTGACTCCCTGCTGGATGCAGCCGACAGATGAGAAGTGAAGCCAGATTTGCCCGGCGTCAGTGAATACGAATCGTGACCCGATGTGCTTGACCGAATCGATACAGGTCCTGGATCTGACCCGCTTGCCAGCCTATGACATTGTCATTTTCTAATCTTCTTTTCTTGTCGTATCTATATTTTTTTATATATTTATTTGTTTGATTCCTAGCCCCACGCGACACCGCGTGGTCCTAGGAACCACAGTATAGTAACGTTTTTTTAACTACGTCTGCAAACCCGGACTGGGTACCGAGCTGTTCTCGCTCGGGCGGGAACTTCGAGGTACAGGCTACCAGGGTATGTAGATGCAGTTAGTATCCAGGTAACGCGGAGGTACTTGCTACGATTTTTGAAGTAGATACGTTGTACTTACACCTGAGACCGGGACTGAAGTACTCTTCGCTCAGGTGGGAACCTCGAGTACGGGTTACCGGGTGTGTTACAGATAGTACCCAGGCAGTAACACTGAGGTTTGATCTACGGGTTTTGAGTTGTTGCTAAAAAAGTACTTATTGGAGAAGAGCTGCAGCTCTCGACACAGACTGAGTAGTAGAGGAGAAGGTCTGTAGCGTGAATCCCTTCACACTCTTATACGATGTAGTTATGCTACGAGATGTAAACCTCTAAACTACATTGTGATTTTTGTGAATTTCTCTCTTCTGGCTGTAGAGGAATGAGCTCACCGTGCTTAAACAAGAAACCAATAAGGACCACGACATGTGAAAAGCCCTTCCAACTGACATTTTCCATGTCAGTGAAATCAACAAAGTTTGACTAACCGGATCCTGCAGGAATGGGCAAAGGTTCGAGAAGACGAGGAGGTTTCAACCAATGGATTTTGTTCTTTTGGCAAACTTCTTAGTTTTCAATATACTTGGCGAGCAGAATCTTTCATACCAAGACAGTAGAGATGTTGCAAAAGACTTTTGCAGGCCTTGAAGAACCCAAAATGACCACGATGGCATCCAACCAAATATAGCACAGTCGGAATGGGCTCAAAATCTGACACGCACACAAGCAATCATGTCCTTCACAAATATGATACAAAATTTAACAAAAATCCATTGACTGTACAAAAATCAGGTGCATGGCTACCGTCTTCACCTGAGTAGAACACCCTTTCACTTTAACTGCATTTAGGGCAACTTTCAGTCTACATACAGCAATAATGAAGGGTGTTCTATCGGGTGAAAACGGCAGGATTATCCTTGAGGTGCAGGTGTGAAAGGCCCATCTTTGACTATAGCTTCAGCAACGGACTTTATGGACTACAGGAGATGAACAACTAACACAACTGGTCCGGTCTTCCACCCCAGCAGTACCACCCCCCAGAGAAGAACTAAGTGAGATTGTAAGATTCCAAACAATAACCAGAACCCCACTACCCCCCAGAAAGGAACATAGTGAAATTGTACAACTCCAGACAATGTGCAAAACCTCTTCAGTCCTGTAGGGACCGCCAGATGAGCATGTGAACCTAGTTCTGCCGTCCCCTTGAGTAACAGCTAAATCAACAGATGATCTCTTCTTCCCCCTGTATACCATACCATTGTAAATCCACAATAGCAAGCTCAGATGGGGGAAAGGGATCTGGGAAGGAGTCTTTAGGGGTAGCTCCTGTTGAAATATTGAACCATTCTTGGAAGATTAGATGATAGTTCCTTTCCCTTTTGAATGCAGTTTCAGGTCCTTCCTCGCCTGGCCACAATACCTCCCCAAGTTTCTCCCCTGAAGGGTTCTCTTGCCAGTCTAGGATGAATTTCTGAATTGTCTTCTTTGTCCTTTTTTTGCTGAAATAACTTTAACTTAGCTTTGGTTTTGGTCCACTGAGACCGGATCTCCGTTTGTATGAATTGCTGAATTAGCTCAGAAATTCCATTACCTTCTAGTCTGACTTTTTCCACTTCAAACACATATCTTTTGTACCATTGTTTCCATCATACTGGTTTCCTTCCTAATTCAAACATATTATGTTGGAAATCCAACAGAGATTGATTTATTGGATTCCAATAACCTAATAGGATGGCCCTCCTACTCCATTGCCAAACAATTTCTGTCAACGTCCTCCAAAAACAGCCCCAGCGTCTCCATACCAACGTCGAACCAGGACACTCCAAAAATATGTGCTCAATAGTTTCTCTGAACTTCCTACTAGGAAAAGAAGTGTGACAGGATTGACACCAAGGAAGCGTCAGACCCCATTGCTCTAACGTAGATCGGTCCACCAGCCAATCATTTGTGGGCAAACAGCAATGTACTATCTGCCCTTGTAAGGACGCAAACTTGGCTGGTCTCTCTTTGAGCCTACTAAACCATTTCATGGGTCTAAGGAGATTGATGTCTACATTAAGGTGTCTAGCCAGGCGTTTCTGCAGGATAGCTGCCACATCCACCCCTGGACGGAGCAAGTGGTAAGAGGACCTGACCGAGAGGGATTGTATAGTCAGCGGTTCATTCCTTTTAGAAGTTTGCCAAGCCCACTCGTCCAGGTCAAGAGGAAGGTCAGAGATAGGGAGCTCCGGGAAGAAAGCCCTCCATCCTTTAGTAGAGGAACAATATATAACCCCAATTCTTGAAACTCCACTTTATCTAATCAATTAGACAAAATAGAATGATCTTGGCGTAGCATCATAGCCTGCACAGAGCAACCAGGGGTCCTTCCCAATGTATATCCATTATCTGGCCTATGATCCTATTACCATTGGGATGAGAGCCACTTACCCAGTCCTCTGCCATTACGCGTGGGCCCTTTTTCAATTCGCCTACCCAAGCTACTGGGAAGGAAAAAATGAGTTCTTCTAGATTCTCAGGTAATTTGTGGGCATACCTGAGAGACTTCCTTAGCTGCTCCACCATTTTCCAATCCTTCTTAGTTGGATCCCATAGATCCTTTACCCTCATGATTCCTTGCTTTGTCCAGGTGGACCACGGTGGAGCCGAGCTAATGAAGACCCTCCCTTCTAGATCAGTTATCCAATGATAACCAAGCGGCGGCTGTCGCAGAATTTTCTTATACCGGTTTGTAAAGGGTTTTTTGGCAGGGGAAGTTGACGCCATGTCTTCAATAAAGCTGCCCAAAATCATCTAATGTCATATCCTTCCTAGCAGCGCCTCATTCGCCTGCCATTTTTGAGTGGTGTTGGACCTTGGGGATACTCCAGAAGTGGTCCTCCACCCAAGTAAATGGTTGGATGACTGCTGAGGACTGAGGAGCTAACCTGCGGATGTGCTCCAATGCTTTGCCAAGACTTGCCAGGGAATCTCCGTAGCCAATATTAGTTGCTATAACCATTGGAGAGCCAACACGTGACATTACAGTGTGGGATCTAGAATCCCGAGACCCCCTTTGGCTTTAGGTTGAATAAGGATAAGGATGTGCCAAGCTACTCGTGGAATGACATTAGCAACTTCCCGATTCCCTCGCCACAGGAATGTTGTGAGATGCTTCTTAAGTGACTTATAGCCTTCTTTACTTAATGTCCAAATTGTTGACTTGTACCATATGGAAGCCAGTGAACGTTATTGATGAGGAGTGCGCTACCAAAAATTGACGTGTGTTGGCTTTTCAATTGGTTTATTTTATCATGGGCGGGTTTAGAGACCCATTCATCATTTGAGATGGTTTTGCCTTGTGCGGTGAGGGAAACCCCAAGGACCCGAATTGGTTCATCCAATGGCAACCATTTGACCTTGGTTATCTCTGGAGGACGATCACCATTGGAATGGATCCATCACCCCTACGTATTGTTACCCCAGTTAACTACCATATCCGATAGTTGAGAGAATTTGTCCATCATTGAT